AGCAAGAGGGTTAAGAAGCTCATGCTGGGTCCGGTGAGATAGCAGGTAAAGGTGCTTGCTGTCAAGCCTGACGACCTGAGTTTCGATCCCTGGGATGCACACAGTGGAAGGAGAGAACTGAGACTCCCTCCCACAAGTTGTTCTCTGACCTGCACATGTGTAGAACATGGCATGTCTGCCTTCACACACACATACAATAAGTAAGTATAATAATAATTTTAAAAGACAATGCTGTATCTAACATGGAAGAGTTCTGGATTCTGCAAGCCATCTGCTGAGGGGTTGTCTCTGGAAGGAGACCAGAGCTCCCAGCCACTACCTCTAGGAAGGAAACGGTGGCTGGAGTACTGGGGTCTGTCTGGGGTCTGTCTGGGGTCTGTCTGAGGTCTGTCTGGGGTCTGAGGAGACTTTTCTTCAACATCCTTTTCCATTTTTTGACTGTGACTCATGGGAATGTATTATGGACTCAAAAAATAAATACAGGAAATTATGGAAAAACAAAACTCTGCACTTTGGACCATACTACAAATAGAATTTTAAAGATTTTTGGAAAAAGAAAGGAGCAGGCTGTTGCTGTTGATGCTGTCAAAGCCGTGTTTGTCTTCCTGACCCTGTTGACTGGTGCATGTTGGCCTGGAGTGGCTCTGGCTAATAGCTCTGAGGGGGAGTTGGGGATGTCATGTTAATAGTTTGAGGTCCCTAAATTAAAAGACCTGGAAGCTGGCTCTCAGAGCAGCTGAGGTACCAGAACTCTTCCTTCTTGAGCAAGCCCTACAATCCCAGGGCAATTATTTTCATGGTTGGTAGTTTCTGGTTTGGTTTGGTTTGATTGTTGGTAGTGTTTGTTTTTTTGACATGGGGTCTCATGCAGCCTAGGCTAGCCTCAAATTTAGTATATAACCCAGGATAACCTTGAGTTCCTGGCCCTCCCTCCTATAGCTGTGTAGTTCAAGGATTACAGATGTGCACCACCACACCTGCTTTATGCAGTGCTTGACTGTATAAACCCAGGGCTTCATGTATCCTAGGCAAGTACTCTACTGATGAGCTATAATCCAACTCCTTGTTTTTGTTTTTCTGGGATAGGGTCTCATGTAGCCTAGGCTAGCCTCAAAGTTCCTATGTAGCTGCGGATGATTTGAACTCCTGATCTTCCTGCCTGCAACTCCCTGAGTGCTAGAATTACAGTCCTGCAGCACTGGGCCTGGCTGGGAGTTGCTGTTGATGATGATGATGATGATGAAAAATTAAGAGCAGTCATAGAAGGCAAGTGGAAGCAGGCTGTGTCAGCTGAAACCATCCACATGTTCCTGCCCTGGGTCTCCTGTGATATAATTAGCTAGTTTTTCCAGTGGTGAGTGGGTGGCTCACTCGTCCTGCAGGCCAGGAGATGATGCAACCAAAGGCAAGCCCGGGCAAGGCCAGCAGAGTGCTGTGGCTGTGGTGCTGAGGCAACGCTCAGTCCTGGGAGAGGGTGGCTCAGTCCGGCTTCTGGGCATGCACGCCCCCCCCCCCCCCCCCCCCGACTACCAAGAAAGCAAAGCTTGCCTCCTGCTCTCCTCTCCTGGAGGTTCTCATCCTCCCTTCCCCCATCCTCCCACAGTGACAGCATCTATTCCAAGTTCCCTTTCTCCCCCAGGTGGGAGGGTGTGCAAACTTCAGAGGCAAGAAAGGGACCCATGCCCTGAGAGACTAAACCAGGCCTTAAGGATGGAGGGTGGGACTTGCTATCACAAAAGCTATTTTCATATCACTTGCACATGGGGCTGGCCTGCCCTCATTGAATTGTATTTTTTTTTGAGACAGCATCTCATGTAGCCCAGGCTGGCCTCAAACTTGCCTTGAAGTCAGATACCCTTGAACTTCTGATCCTCCTGTTTCTGTCTCCCACATGCTGGGATGATAGGTAAGCAGCAATACGCCTAGCCATGGAGTATAGTTTTTAACTGTGTTAATTATTATCTAAAATGATATTAAGGGCTGGCGAGATGGCTCAGTGGGCAAAAGAGCTTGGTGCCAAGACTGATGACCTGAGTTTAATCCTCCAAACCTACGTGGTGGAAGGAGTGTCCCCAAGTTGTTCTCTGACCTCCACATGTGCACCATGGCATGAATGGTGCGCGCACACACACACATGCACACACACGCACACACAATGTGATTTTAAAATAAAATAATATTAACTATTTTAAAATATAAGGAAGAAGCAGACTTTCCATACAAGATGCATGGGTAGTGCAGAACTCTACTGGACTAATGGGGTCCCAGAGCTGGGCTGCTTGGAGGACCTGTTCCTCTCTCCAGTAGCAACCACAGTCCCCATTTCTTCTCCTCCTGCGTACAGTTTGTGTTCACAAAGGACCTGAGGTTTGTTATTATTATTATTAGTTATTATTATTATTTTGGAGACAGGGTATTTCTGTATCTCCAGCTGGCCTGAATCTTGCCACACAGATCAGGCTGTCCTTGAGCTCACAGAGATCTGCCTGTTTCTGCCTCCTGAGTACTAGAATTAAAGGTGTGCGCCACCAAGCCTGACTTGTTGATCTTTATTACATTTATTTATTTAATTTGTGTGTGTGTGTGTGTGTGTGTGTATGTGTGTGCCTGTGCACATATGCCACAGCTCTCTTCCTTGTGGATGTCAGAGGATGACTTTCAGGAGTCAGTTCTGTCCTTCCACCATGTGGGTTCTGGGGACCAAACTCAGGTCATCATGTTTGGTGCCAGGCACCTTTATCTGATGGGCCATCTTGCCAGCGCATTTGTTTTTGAGATAAGTCTCATGTAACTCAGGCTAGCCTTGAACTTGTTATGTGGTCAAGGATGATCTTGAACTCTGGATCTTCCTGGCTCTACTCCCAAGTGCTAGAATCACAGGCTCATGCCACACATCCAGTGTATGTGGTGGTGGAGATCAAAACCAGGGCTGCATTCATGCAAGGTAAACCGCTACTTCCCAGCCCCTCAGTATGCTTCCTTTTCTTTTTTCTTTTTAAGTATTTTCTTGTTTATTTTTATTTTATGTGTGAGAGTATTGCCTGCATGTGTAAGTGTACTTGTGTTGTACAAAACCCGAGGAAGTCAGAAGAGGGCATTGAATCCCCTGGAACTGGAGTTACAAAAGGTTGTTAGTTGCCATGTGGGTGCTGGGATTTGAACCCAGTTCCTCTGCCAGAGCAGCCAGTGCTCTTAAGCTCTGAGTCATCTCTCCAGCCCCTCTTTTTTCTTTGTTTTAGTAGGGTGGATTGAACATAGGGTCTTGTGCATGCAAGGGAAGTACTTTACCACTGAGTTCTATCCTCAGCACTTGTCTTTTACTTTATATTTTGAGAGAGAGTTTCACTTAGTTGCCCGGGTTGGCCTTGAATTCACCATCTAGTTCTAGCATGCCTTGAACTTTCAGTATTCCTGCCTCAGATTCCCAGGTGGCCTGGGTCATAGGTCTGTGCCACCAGACCTGGCAACCTGAGTATTTTTCCAAAGGCAGTGCCCCCGCCTCCGCCTCAGGTCAGAATCATTGGGCTAGAGGGAAGAAGGACAGATAGAGCCATTTCCAGTCTGTGGAAATTCAGAAAGGAAAATTAGATATATTTTGAGGTACTTGGCAGTGAGCCCCCCACCCCTCCAGATCCAGGCTTAGCATAATGCACCCCCTGTTAGAAATGCCAGGGGCCTCTGGACCTGCATTAGTGGCAGTAAAGGATTTTTCTTCTTAGTGATCCTTCATGTTGGTCCCCTGGGGGATTTCAGATGGATTTGTGGACTAAGGGATTTTTCCTGCATGTGGGCTCAGTGACTTCTTACACTTTGATGTTAAACTAGCTGAAAAAAAAAAAAAGGCTGTCTACCAGAAGGTGGAAGTGGGGTCCTGCTGTGTGAGGAGACATGGAGCACACACAGTCTCTTTGTTCTGTTTCCTCTTCAGGAACCAATGAGGACCCTGTAGACCTCACTGTTTCGTTTCTTGGGGAAATGGAAGATCCCACATGTGAAAGTGCCCATCTCACAGGTCCCTTTACACTGCAGGGGCACTGTTCTTTCTGCCCTGTCTGGTGACGCAGCAGGAAAAGACCCTCTTCTAGAAGATAGGGGACGGGGGGGTAGGAAAAGATTCCATCTGCCTTGTTAACTGAAGTTGAAGGGAGAGATATAATGAGAGTCTTCCAGACCATAAGAAGCAAGTTGTCTGTATTTCGGGGAGATATTGTGTCAAATGTCACTACTAATCTGTGTCTGCACCCAGGGACTACAGTGATCTGTGAGGCTGGGTGGGGCCAGTCAGTCAGGTTCTCACTTACGGAATTGGTACGTGGTAGATGAAGGGAGTTCTCTTGTGCCAGGTGTGACAAAGTATACATGCCCTCTTCAGACCTTTCTCCAGCCCTCCAGTAAGGGGAAGAGATCTCCAGGCCCTTGAGGATAGGGAAGGCCCTGGATCTGAATCAGCACGTGGAGGCCAGCTATTTGCCACCTTGAGTGTGTGTGTGTGTGTGTGTGTGTGTGTGTGTGTGCATGCATGAGTGCATGTGTGAAATAATTTCTCTTTCCCCTCTCCCCTTTCTTTCATATCCTCCCTCTTGCCCTCCCCTTCCCCCCTCCTCTCTCTTATCATAGCAAAGTTATTAACTTTGTTTTTTTTGTTGGTGGTGGTCTCATTTGTAGAACAAGCTGGACTCACACTTGTGGCAATCCTCCTGCCTCTGCCTCTCAAGTGTCAGGATTACTGGCATGTGCCATTACACCTGGCTCTTTGTTTTAGACAGAGTCTTATTATGTAGCCTAGGCTGGCCTCAAACTCATGATCTTCCTGCCTGGGATTAGAAGTATGGGCCACCCTTGCATGTCCTTGTCACCTTTCACAGTTTGTTTTTTACAGCAGCTAGTCATGCCCTCTGCCAAGTTTTTCCTGAGTCCTGGCCTGAGCTGCCAAGGTACTCACCTGGAAGAGAGGCCACAGTGTATGGTCAGAGGGCAGCCTGAGCTGCCAAGGTACTCACCTGGAAGAGAGGCCACAGTGTATGGTCAGAGGGCATCACATCCCCTCCTGGCTCTGCGGCTGCAGGGGAGGCACCGAGCAGTCAGGCTTAGGGTTGCAGCTGTTGCATTCCAGGGTGGTTTGGGTAGCAGATGGCCCCAGAGGCACCCTGGGGAAGAAAAGACAGGGATGAGCAGGCAGCTGATGGGAGTAGGGGAAGGATAGAGCCATAGCCCAGAAGTGGACTTGCTCTGACCCCTGCCTGAGTCACCCCAGTCCAAGCCAGCAGCAAATGGGGTCTTGTTCCACTGTTATCTGCCCCACCTGTCCTGGGTGGGATGCAGAGGTGATGGGTCTGAACTCCGGAGGTCACTGGCCCACTGTGCAGGCAGAGGCACCAAGCCCAAGTATCCTCAGTACTTTGATGGATGCATGTTGCAGTTTGTTTTGGGAGGGGCTTAAAAGGAATTTGTTAGAAAAGGAAAGAAAAGAAAAGAAAAGAAAAGAAAAGAAAGAAAGAAAGAAAGAAAGAAAGAAAGACAAAATTCTTTCCTTGAGTTCATCTAGAAAGGGTCTGGAGAGGTATCTTGGGAGATGTTTGTTTTGTTGAGACAAAGTTTCATGTAGCCCAGGGTGGCTTCCAACTCCACATGTAGCTGAGGATAACTTTGACAAGTTTTTTTTTTTTTTTTTGAGATAGGGTCTTACTATGTAGTCCTGGTTGGCCCAGAAGTTGCTATATGCACCAGGCTGGCTTAGGTCTCATAAAGATCCATCTACTTCTGCCTTCCGAGAGCTGGTGTCAAAGCATGTGCCACCATACCTGGCCCTGCTTTTTTTTTTTTTTTGGGCTTTTTGAGACAGGGTCCCCCCGTAGCCCCAGCGGTCCTCAAACCACTCTGGAGACCAGGTTGGCCTTGAACTCACAGAGATCCGCCTGCCTCTGCTTCCACCAAACCCAGCTTCTGCTTCCACCACACCCAGCTCCTTTTTTAAAAATATTTGTTTTTAATTAATAAAAATTTTTTATGTGTATATTGCCTGCATGTGTGTAAGTGCACCTGCACCATGTAATACCCATGGAGGTCTCAAGGACTTCGTTCAACTGCAGGTTCCTTGCTTTTCATCCCACAGAACTTACAGGACACAATGCTCCATAGGTCTCTCAGGGATCCAGGCTGGTGGAGGCCCCACCAGGGTTTAGTGGCAATCATGGACTCCTTTATCCTAGCTATGGAGGACAAGGCTGGGGATTCTCATGTGCCTCAGCTCTGGAGACAAATGCCTCTTAGGTTCTTGTTTCATTGGGTGGAATCAGTCACATGGCCTTGTCTAACGGAGGCAGGAGAGAGCTGGAAGATGTAGGTGAACCCTTAGAAAATCTGGGCAGCATTGCTGTCTAGGCTACATGGAATACAACTGATTTAATTTAAAAAATTTTATTTTATAGCGGGGTGTCGTGGTGCACGCCTGTAATCCCAGCACTTGGGAGGCAGAGGCAGGTGGATCTCTGTGAGTTCAAGGCCAGCCTGGTCTACAGAGTGAGTTCCAGGATAGCTGTGGCTACAGGGAGACCCTGCTTCAAAAAGACAAAAAAAAATTTATGTGTATGAGTGTTTTGCCTGAATGTAAGTGCACCACGTGTGTGATACCTGCATAGGCCAGAAGAGGGCGTCAGATCATCTGAAACTGGAGTTAAAGATGGTTGTTAGCCACCATGTGGGTGCTGGGAATTGAACCTGGGTCCTCTGCGAGAGCAGCTAGTGCTGTTAACTGCTGAGCCATGTCCCCAGCCCCCAACAACTGCTTTGAATAGTTACACATGAAATCTGAGAAGCCAGGGTAGAACAACTGAGAGGTTAGTACCTTCTGCTTTGTGGTCTGGACCATGATAGCCTATTGTGTTATTTTCATAAATGAATGAATGAGGGAGTAGCTGAATGAATAAATGAACAAGAAGGTGCAGAGGCAGGAGCCTTAGAGCTTCGCTTTGGGGTGCTGGCTCAAATTAGCCTTCCATAAATATTCAGGAGCTGCAGGTGGAGGCTGCAGGGCTTCATGGGTACAAAGATGAATAAAACACAGATCCCTCCCTCTGTGCTTGCTCTGAGAGCTCAGCAGTAACCGTGGAGCCCTAGGGCCAGGCTTGTTCAGGAGCCCTGGGAGCAAAGAGTGTGCAGGGGAGTCATGAAGAGTTAGTAGCAGTCCGACAGGTGGAGAGTGGAGGTGGGGGAAGTGGGTCAGGAAGCCTCAGTCCAGGATATGTTCCATATGATATGTGGGATGCCACAGAGAGCCCTTTACTCTTGACCTTCGCTGCTTCCTAAATGATTGGGACAGACCACTCAGACTTTCTCCAGGGCCCGGGCACCTGCACTCCCTGGAGGCTGCGAGGAGACTGGCTCACCTTGCTGACAGCTGAGTCCCGTTTCAGGGCTGGTCTCCGAGGAGGATGTTGTCTGCCTGAGGGCATGGTCCCCTGGCTGCAGGGGAAGCTGCATCCACACAGCTGATAGAGTGGGAAAGCCCAGCCTGCTTGTTACACTCAGGGAAGTCTGCAGGGCCACCCCAGCTCCAGAGCTCCTTGAAGCCTACCTGAGTCTCTGCAGGGCCCCCTGTCTCCATCAGAGCCCATCTCCTCTCTACCTAACCCGGTTTCCTTTATAGCCTGATAAATGTATGGGCTGTAAAAGTCCCTAACCCCCAACCTCTTTCAAACCAGTCTCCACTCTGATGTGTTTTCTGGAATACACGCTGGTTAAAGTGTTTACTGGATTCCACGGGGTTCTTTTCCTGGGAGTGTTTCTATACCAGTGATAACTAATGTTTGTGGAGACCTGTGTCTGACTAGACACTTTACCTGTATGACCTTATTTAATGAAGAATAGAATTCATGCCAAAGAAAGAAATTCCACTTATATGCATGTGTGTGTACATGTGCACATGAGGTGTGTATGTAGGTGTACATGTGTTATATGTATGTATGTGGACATATGTGTGCCAGAGAGTGCATGTGGAGTCAAGAGGAATCAATTCTCTCCTTGTACCACATAGGTCCTGCAAACTGAACTCAGGCTTGGTGACAAGTACCTTTACTCACAGAGCCATCTTGCTGGCCCGTCACCTTATTTTTTAAAATTTTTTGGTATTTTTGAGACAGGGTTTCCTTGTAGCCCCAGCTGGCCTAGAACTTGCTATGTAGACCAAGCTGACCTTGAACTCACAGAGATCCATCTGCCTCTGCCTCCCTAGTGCTGATATTAAAGGCGTGCGCCACCACACCAGGCTCTGTCACCTTTTTTTTTTTTGAGACAGGATCTTTTATTGGCCTGGAGCTTGGATGATTAGGCTAAACTAGCTGACCAGTGATATCCAACGATCCACCTGTCCCCACCTCCTCCGTGCTGGGGTAACAAAAACATGTTACTATGCCCCCCAGCTTTTTCGTCTAGGGTGCTGGGGATTGAACTCAGGTTCACATGTTTGTAAAGCTAGCACTTTACTGACTTGAGAGGCTGGGGAGCACAAATTCGGCCTCAGGTTTCTCTTATGTGCTGTGGTGGGTTCCCAACCCTTGTGCTTAGCAATGTCATTACTTTGTTCTGCCTTTGCCCTAGGGTCTCACTTCTTGGGATTCTGTGTGAATTCTACTGAAATCTGAATGTCCCTGTTTGGAACTCCCCGGTCCTTTTCTGAGAAGTGGTGACACTGTCTCCACACTTCCTCTCCCTTCCAGGGTAGTTCTAGCAGTTACCACGGAGCCTTTCTTACCCCCTCCTTGAGGCTTGAGTCCCACTTTTCCTTTCTGTCACCCTCTGCATGTCCCTCCAGGCTGAACCTCCATCCGTCCCTGGCTGTCCTCTCTCCAGGAGCAGCAGTAAGCCCTGGCAGCAGGCGCTGGTGGGTTGGGACTGGCCTTCTGGCCCTCAGGAACATGTCCTGACATGTCCAACCCTGGGATAGAAGAGGCGGGGGCTGCTTTATGCAGGGAGGTGGGGATATAGTGGATGACAGGAAACTACCTGCTGTGGGGCCAGGAGGAGCATGAAGGAAGACAGTAACCCTAGATAGATGGGGACCCCCCAGCACGATGTACCACTGCAGGTCCCTTGTGACATGTGTGGAATCTGGGACTTGTAGTGTGTGTCTTCAGGTGTTAGGGGTCAGGTCCGGTGTGTGTGTGTGTGTGTGTGTGTGTGTGTGTGTGTGTGTCTTTGCCCTTCACCCTCTTTGGGGTTAAAGTGCCCCTTCTAACAGTGTATCTAACTATACACTCAAGCGCAGGGTGGCAAACACTTGTTAAAAAAAAAAAAAGACTAAACAGTCCTAGCTCCTTTGTAAGTGTTTAATAAATATTTGTTGAATACTATTGTGGTGCTAGAGGTAAGCCAGAAGTTATTTCAACAATCTAACAATCTCAGCGTCAACAGGACAAAGGAAGGATTTCACAGGGGAGCTCAAGAGTACATGGTGTTCAGCAATTCACTACAAGCCTTCATTAAAACTGTTTTCCCTCAAAGTAAACAAACAATGTCACATCTATTTGAAACTCCTGAAGGCCAAGGGGATTTGGACGGTTGGAGGACCTCTGTTGGCCTTTGACAGCCCAATCTATGCGGGGAGGTGATAGCTCAGGAGCTGGGGTGAAGTGGGAGTGGTCCTGAGGCCCAGCTCTAGTCCTAGCCTGGATCCAGAGCCAGACTGTTGAGGGGGGACTGAGAGGGTATCCCCTCACACCCTTCCCGGACTCCCATCCCCCACGGTAGAGAAGAAGACCTGTCCTCCCTGAGGTCAGCTGTGTTAGAGGAAGAAAACTGGGCATGCCTGGGCAGAGATTTCCAGACACCCAACAGCCTGAGATGTGTCAGAAATCATAGGCGCTCCAAGCCTGGATTCTTTTTTTTTTTTTTTTTCAACTAAGATTTCTGTTCAGATAAGTTTCATTCTCAGCTATTTTTGTTATTGTGTTTGTTTTTATTGTTACTTTTGAGTAAGGAGTGTTTTTGTTTTTGAGACAGTCTCCCATAGCTCAGACCAGCCTCAGATTTACTTTGTAGCATAATCCATGAATTACTGAGCCTCCTGGCTCTACCTCCAGAATGCTGGGATTACAGGTGTGCGCCACCACACACAGTTTACACTGTGCTAGAGATTGAACCCAGGGCTGGGTGCATGCAAGGTAAGTATTATAAACTGAGCTACATCCCTGGCTCTTTTTGTTTTTTGAGACAGGGTTTCATGTAGCTCAGGCTGGCCTTGAGCTCCAGATCCCCGAGTCTCCACCTCTTAAGTGCTAGGGTAACAGGCATGTACCACCACGCTCAGTTGACTTAGGGGTCTTGCTTTGAAGAAAACTCAAAACAGCTGGGTGTGGTGGCTCAGACCTGTAATCTCAGCTCTCAGGAGGGAGACTGAGGTTGGAGAATTGCTTTGATTTTTAGGCCAGCCTGGGCTACATATAGCAAGACCCTGTCTCAAAAAACCCAAACCAAACCCAAATAAAAGTGGTTGGGTAAAGGAGGTAGGTGGAGGCTGATGGCATCAGTAGATATTTCTAGAATTGTCCTCTAGCATCTCAGTGAACTGTCTGGAATTAAGGGGTATTAAACATTTTCCTTATTTTGGACTCTGGGCAGGACTTGAAACTCCAGCCCTAGCCATTTCTTGGCTGTGTGGTCTGGGTCAGGTCACTGGGCCTCTCTGAGCTTTAGTTTCCCCAGCAGTGTTTGTGGGCTGCGTGGGGAACAGTCAGGCACTGACTTCTACAAGGGGTGAGAGGGAGGGAGAGGCAGGGAGTGGGAGGTTGGTCCTGGACTCAAAGATGCTCTGTTGAGGTATCTGGGTGCCTCAGGGGCCTTCTGGGAGAGGTGGTCTATTGAGGGAAGAGCTCTGGAAATAGTGGGCTTATGGGACTTGCAAAGACAGTCTCATTCTTCATTATTTATGGATTTTGCTGTGTTTTGTTTTTTTTGAGACAAGAGCTCCCTATATAGCCCAGGCTAGTCTTGAATCCCATAACACTCTTCCTACCTCAGGCTTGAAAGTGCTGGGATTCCAGGTTTTCACTATCCTACCTACTTAGATATTTATTTTTATTTGAGACAGAGTCTTATGCATCCCAGGCTAGCCTACAATTTGCAAAGTGGCAATGACCTTGAACTCTTGATCCTCCTGCCTCCACCTCCCAAGTGCTGTAATTACAAAGTCCAGTTCGGTGGTGCTCAGGATCCAATTTAGGGCTGCTTGGAGCATGCCAGGCAAGGTACTTTGCTGATGAAGGCACTTCACCAAGCCCCAGGTTTTTATTTTCTAATGTTAACCCTTCTGATTTGTTAGCAGCATCGCGTTCTTCAGTGACAGACTAACAGGGAGCTCATCCCAAGCGCTGTTCTAATGTGTGCCTCCACTTGGGGGGTACGTGACAAGCACACAGCCCAGGTGCGGGAGGAGGGGAGGACCCACCCTCTTGCAGCGCCCGAGGTTCCGGCTGTCTGGAGTGACGCCAGGCTCCGGCCTGGATTCCCGGTGGGGTGTGGCGGGGCCCGGCGTCCCCCGGCAGCTCAGAGGCGCAGTGGCGGATCCCGCCTCCAAAGCGGGAAGGGGGTGGAGCTGCTGTTTTATGAGGGCGGCACCGAGCCCAGGGCATCAGTCGAGGTGTGAGCTGCTGCAGTGTCAGAGTCAAGTCGAACAGGATTCACCGTGACACCGACACCGACACCGGGGACTCTCAGAGGTGAGGACACAGTGACAGGGAACGGGGTCTCCTTTCTGCAGCTCTGTGCAGCCTGGCGTGTCCCCACGAGTGTTCATGTATGGGTGTCCGCGGCGATGGGTGTGTGTTTGCATGGTGTGCGTACCGGATTCATAAGTGCGTCTGCCGCAGGTGGATGATCGGCGTGTGTCTAGTTGTGCCCACGCGACTGGTACATCGGAGTGTGGCAAGGGTCGGGCTGTGTCGTGGACTTCGCTCCAGGACCAGGGATGGCCAGCCGCACTCTGGGTTCCTACAGACCCAGTGGGGCGACAGCAGTCTGTGCCGAGCTCCCTTCTGGCTGCAGATGCGCCCGGGAGTTCCAGATGCAGCTCCCCAGAGGCGTGAGAACGAAGCCTGTATCCCCAAAAATGTACAGGAGCAGTGGGGACGAGTCCATCTGGAATCCGATGGGGGGGGGCGGAATGGCTCTTGGATCCCAGCGGTGCCTCCCCGGTCCCGGGCCTGTGAGGTCCAGGTGTCCCTTCCTACCCTGGCCACCACCCCGCTGGACGCTGAGGTCAGCGCGCGCCGTGTCCCCCGCCCTTGGGAACATGCCTGGACACGTCCTGTGAGGACAGGCGAAGAGGTGACTCATTGTGACACGGGGACCCTGGGGACAGGACTGAAATCAGAGCCGCGCCCCAGCTGGGGGGTCAGTGGCACGGGTAGGAGCCCCCTTCCCTGCCTCGTCGCTGGCGCTGTCCCCTCCTCCGCTCGGCACAGTGACCTATTTGGCGGGCACAGAGTGTTCCCAGGGAACTCGGGACACGGGGAGGTCCAGGACTCGGTGTCCGGTCCCCCCTCCGTGGCGCGCCCTTTGGCACCGGGATCTGGGCGGGCCCTGGTTGGACTCCGTGCCAGCCGGGGAAGCGCAGGGGTCCCGCCCTCTGCGCCCACCGCGGCAGGGACAGTTGGCCGCAGGGTGGGGGAAGGGGTGCCAGTGGTGGGGATCCCCGCGGGGTGCGGCTTTGGGCGAGGGTGCTGTCCATCACCCACCCCCAGGGCTGGGGCACCCCGACCCAGTCCACACCCAGTCACCAGGCTGAACTGGTTGGGACATGCTGACCAGGGCGCATCCACCCCTTCTGGAAGCCCTGGGGACCCCAGGGACACACTTAGACTTGGGTTTGGTGTTTGGAGACGCACAGGCATCTTGCTTTCCTTCTTGTACCTCCACGGCGCGACTCCCGCGCGGTTTTGTTGTCTTCGTCCTCATCTATTTTTATTTTCCAGGGATCTGACTCATTGCTTGCTTTGGGCGTGGAGATCAAGGTGGGGGGTGGCGGGGAGGAGCAGGACTGCGCGCGCTTTTGCGCGTGTGCGCGGGTCCCAACGGGAGCGCGCGGCTTCCCAACCTCAGCGGGAGTTTCGGAAACTCTGCCCGCTCATCGTGACGTGTTTGGGGACTTGGGCGTCCCCCTCTCCCCCCGATGCCAGCACAGTTTTGGCGGGCGTGGAGCGCAATGCAGGAAACTGACTCACCACCCCTTGCTCAGCCCACGCGCCGCCCACCGCGGGGCATTTCCTGGGGCCCAGCTCCCCCTCCGGGCAGCGGTGGGAACAGCATGCCATCGGCTTCTGCCCCCCGCCCCCACTGCCGGAACTGTATTTACTAGAAATTGATTATTTTTTTATTTTTTTTATTTTCAAGTTTTTTTTTAGAAGCATTTCATTACAGCTTTAACATATTCAGTAACACATTCCAGAGCAAGGATACATCTCTTTCAAAGGTGGCTGTAAATTTTTAGGTTCACAGTTGAATTAATACAGTCATACAGTAATGAACTCAGTAAAAGCCCTGTAGGACATAAAATTGGCTGAGTTTTTATCCTTTAAAGAAGATCTCCACTTCATTTTAAGATATGGTGTTTCCTACATTTTTTTTCAATAAAATATTTTTTTTCAATTAGAAGAAGCATTTCATTACAACAGCATTAACCTATTCAATAACATTTTTCTGAGCTAGGGTACATCTCTTTCAAAATTGGCTGTACATTT